ACTAGTTTTTTTGCAACCCTTGGCACTTTTTCCAGTTTCTTTTCTTGCCTTACCAGATGTGGGTTCTACACTGGTGCTGTATACTCCTAGATGGGCCTGACATATGCCGTGTATAAAGTCATGAATGCCTCCTTGTTGATATTCCTGAAAGCTCCCCTTAAATTTTCCACTCTGGTGTTTGCTACAAGGGTTATTTGGTTGATGTGTGCCTTAGGCAAAATGCTTGTAACCTCTGCTCACCCCTAAGACCTTTTTTTGCAGACTAATTTGCAGCCATTGCTCCTTGAGCCTTTACACTGTTTCCAGATGTCCTGCCCTTCTTTAACCCTTTGAGGGTCGACAGGCCCTCTCCGAAACTCGTTCTCAGGGTCGGCCAAATTTAAAAAAAAAAAAAAATTTTCTCTTATGAAAAGATAGAGAATCTTTTCCCGATCATAAAGACACCAAAAGTTTGAAATTTGATAGAAAACTTACGGAATTATGCTCTCGCAAAGTTAGCGGTCTCGGCGATGTTTACGCATCGGCGATTTTGCCCACTTTGAGCCCCATTTTCGGCCAATTTCACTGTACTAGTCGACAAAAAACATGAATATTTCGCTAGAACTCCATTTTTTCTATCGAATGGGTGCAAGAAACCACTCATTTATGAAATTCAACTATCCAGTACAGTGGTCAGAATTTAGCAATTTTGCCAATTTCACACAAATTTCAAAAGATGCCAATTTCCGAATAGGGTCCAGAATAAACAAGAAAGACATTCCTAGCACTAAAATGACATTTCCTTAGTCATTAGTAACGTCTCAAGGCCCCTCTTATATTCTTTTGCTTTCCACTTTGAATTTTTATTTTCACAAAAAATATAAGATTTACTGTTATGCAGACTACTGCATTAGTGTAAAAAATGGTATAAATATTATTGGTGCACTTGTGAAAGAATATTAGACTCACCAGTTGACGTGTATTGCACGCTTGGCACGATTTGTGTTACTTTTGAAGTTGGTTAAAAATCGAACATTTCTGCTACTTTGAGCTCAATTTCAAGGCACTTTTCTTTGTAAAACCAGTCAAAATCATCTCAATTTCTGTAATATGTCTTCCATTCTATAAAATGAGACCAAGAAAACTAGAATACAACGATAAATACCATACGAAAATACACTGCAAAGTCGCTGATTTATTAAAAAAAAATGGTCAAAGTTTTTTTTTCTCATTATGCACTGTGTGCTGCAGGATTTTTTTTAGACTGTGCACACTGACCACATAGACCCATTCTTTCATATGAAGGCCTACCAGCTTTCTCTCACTAGATTTGAGGCCGCTAGAATTTATGAGTACTAGTACGTCAAAAACCCCTACGCGTAAGACGTACTAGTACGACGAAAACCCTCAAAGGGTTAATTTTCATAATTTTGCATTTTTGGGATTAAATTCTAATAGCCACTTGTCAGACCAATCCTGCAGCTTGCCTGGATCCATTTGTAGTCTTTCCTGGTCTACTGCTACTTGTATTCTCCCAGTTAGTTTCACATCATCTGCAAACTGGGATATCTCTGACTCAGTATCCTCTGTCATATCATTTACATACACAAGAAATAGTGACAGTACTGACTTTTGGAACCCCACTTGTCACACTTACCCTTTCTGACACCTCCCTGATAGTAATTGATTGCTTCCTCCCATTAAGTACTGTATTCCTTGATCTACCTTTTATGTAATTCCTTCCTTACATTGTAGCTTGAATGCCAGTCTCTTGTTGGGCATTATATCAGACATCTTGAAGTCCAAAAATATAAATTCCACCAATCTCTTTTTCTCTCTCCTGCCTAACTTTTACCTTGTAGAACTCTAGCAGATTTGTGAGACAGGATTTGCCATCCCTAAAATCATGCTGGTGGTTGTGTACTCCACTATTGATAATCTTCTTTTTAGCCTTATATACTATACATGTTAGAGACAGAGGCAATAAAAATGAGGTCAACTAGAAACTACAGTAAAGAAACACTGGTAAATAGGCTACACAATTGTGACTGGACAGAGATAACAAGTTGCACGGACGTAAACGATGCCTGGGAAAAATTCAAAACAATGTTCACTACCATCCTTGATAATATTGCACCAGTTAAAGAGGTTAGGATTAAATGAAGAACTGAACCCTGGATGAATACTGAGATATTAGATAATATGAAATTCAGAGACCAGCTGCTAAAAAGATTTAAAGCAAACAGACAGGATATTGCAGCACTAAATGAATTCCAAAGGTGAGGAACAGACTACAGAGACTTATAAAAGGAGCAAAGGCAAAGCACTACTGCTCAAAAATTGAAGAGTATAAGCATAACCCCAGAAAGCTCTCGGCAACAAACTAAAAACAGTTGGGGTATACCCAATAAGCCAGTAGATAGGTCTAACATAGTACTCACTATCGATAATGAGGTATGCCACGAAACATCTAAGGTGGCAAATTGCTTTAATTCATATACACATCTGTTGCATCAACATAGTAAGTAAACTACCAGCTGCATCAAATACCTTTAACACAGACTCTGATAAGTTTCAAACATACTATACCAATAAAGGGGTAACCCCAAACAGTTGTCAACTAGTAAGTGTATCTCATGACTTTATTCAAAAAGAACTAAGCAGGTTAAACCCAACTAAGAGCACAGGCCCTGATAACATCCCGTCTAAGTTCCTAAAAGATGGTGCTTCTGAACTGTCAATCCCTATTGCTCACATAATAAATCTATCAATCGCCACTAATACCGTACCGGAGGGGTTCAAGGAGGCCAGAGTTACTCCTATCTTCAAGAAAAATAGTAGGTCTGATGTAAGCAACTATAGGCCTATTAGTTATATTTTATATTATCACACTGGCCGATTCCCACCAAGGCAGGGTGGCCCGAAAAAGAAAAACTTTCACCATCATTCACTCCATCACTGTCTTGCCAGAAGGGTGCTTTACACTACAGTTTTTAAACTGCAACATTAACACCCCTCCTTCAGAGTGCAGGCACTGTACTTCCCATCTCCAGGACTCAAGTCCGGCCTGCCGGTTTCCCTGAATCCCTTCATAAATGTTACTTTGCTCACACTCCAACAACGTTGGCCTATTAGTATACTCAGTATAATATCTAAAATTCTAGAGAGGGCGGTGTATTCTCAAGTAGTTAAGTACCTTAATGACAACAACATTCTCCATAGCTATCAATCCGGCTTTAGAAGATCCTACTCAACTGACACTTCCCTTATTAATCCGATGGATTACCTGAGAACTGAAATGTCAAAGGGGAACCTCATAGGTATGGTAACCTTAGACCTGCAAAAGGCCTTCGATACTGTCAACCACAATATATTATGTAATAAACTTCAAGCTATCGGTATAGGTTCTGTAGACTGGTTTAAGTCCTACCTTAGCAACAGGAGACAAATAGTCAAAATCAACAAAACAGAATCAGAACCCCTGCCAATAACATGTGGAGTTCCCCAAGGTAGTATTCTGGGTCCCTTATTATTCTTATGTTATGTCAATGATATGCCTATCAGTGTCAAGTGCAAACTCCTACTGTATGCAGATGACAGTGCTCTGTTAGTGTCAGGTAAAGACCCACAAGATATTGCTAATGTTTTAACACTGGAACTGGAGTCCTGCAGAAAATGGTTAGTAGACAACAAACTATGATTACACCTAGGGAAAACTGAAGCCATTCTCTTTGGCACGAAACATAAACTGAGAAGGGTAAATAATTTTTATGTTCAATGTAATGGGGAGCCCATCACTTTGGTTTCATCAGTAAAATATTTGGGAATCCCCTTTGACCCATGCATGTCAGGAGAATTGATAGGGAACAGTGTAGTAAAGAAAGCGAATGCCAGACTGAAGTTCCTGTATAGACGAGCACAGAGTCTACCTACTGAGGCTCGCAGGACCCTATGTCTAGCCCTTATACAATGCCATATGGATTACGCTTGCTCTTCTTGGTACTCTTTCCTTGACAAAAAAAACTGAAAAGATAGACTGCAAATCACCCAGAACAAAATCGTAAGATTCATCCTGGGGCTGGGACCAAGAGAACATGTAGGCCAGGATGAATTACAGCAGTTGGATATGCTGAATGTTGAAGACAGAGTAAAAAAACTGAAGCTAAATCATGTTTATAAAATTGCTCACAAAACAATGTCCAGAATATCTTGCTGTCAATTTTGTCAAAGGGTTTGGGGAAACCAAAGCAATCATAGTACTAGGGGGAGAGAGCACAACTTTGTAGTACCCACAGTCAGTGGCCAGGCTTCAAACACCTTTTATTGTACAGCAATAAAGGAATGGAACAGACTGCCCGCACATGTCAAAGCCAGTCATAGCATGAACCAGTTCAAGAAGAGTGCCAAAAGGTGTCTGATGAATGTAGCTACAGAAAGGGAGGGGAATGATTTTCTATTTTTTAGCTAACATACATGTAAATTTTTTACCTTATTCCTAGTAATGACCCTTGTATTGTAGATAGTCTTAATGACCTTGGTGTAGTAGATAGTCTTTTTAGTATGATAATAAGATGTTATCTTCATTGTAGAATAATAAGAAAATATTATAACCTTTATATTATAATAATAAGGTAAAAGGACCCCAATGGAAATAAGTCACTCTGTCTGACTTTTTTGGGTTATCCCAGGTTCTCTACACACATGCTGCTATGTATGATAATTCTATGTAACTGTATTTGTGTATACCTGAATAAACTTACTTACTTAGAGGCATGTAGTTAAATGTTACCTGTCTGCCCCATTTTTTATATGCTATTGGAAGTACAGTTGTTTTCCAGACCTCTGACAGCTGCTCACTTGCAATCAGCTTGTTGAAGATCACTGTTAGTGGTTCACACAGTTCCTCTGCTCTATCTTGGAGAACCTACGGAGATATTTTGTTTGGTCCCATTGCCGTAGAGATATCTAGTTCACTTAGTACAGTGATACAGTGTGTGTGGTATACATTACGTCATACAGAGTTTGAGGGTTAAGCTGGGATCACTGTAGTTAATGTTTGCTAGTTCTCTTGCAGACTTGTTTGTAATTTTAGTGTAAGGCAGGGTTATGAGAAATGTCGTGCAGGGGATTTAATTTTTGTTTTGCTTTGAACAGGTGGTCTTAGAGGAAGAAACAGTAATTAAGGAAGAAATACCTGAAACCAAACATGAACATGAGGATGAGATTACCAGACTCACAGACTCTGAGGCAAGCATAAACTATGATCCGCTAAATTCTGTGGATGATAAAGGTGGTACAGGAGGCATGGCGGGGATGTTCAGTCCTCAGATAATATCAAGTCATCCACAAAATGTATTACAAGATATTATGGTGCAAGGAGTACCTGGACCCTCAGCACTGCCAGCGGTGAGTATCACTTAAACGTTGGAGCAGTTACTGAAATGTTGGTAGCGCTTTAGGTTACTACAATTGTCACAGTACAGTACAGTAGGGCCCTATTTTCTGAGGTTCTGTGTTACAAGGTTTCACACTTAAAACATTGGCATTTAGGAAAACCATGTAACTATGTGCAAATGGATGTATGTCAATCGCTGCATGATATGAGAAAGGTATCCCATATTCACAAACCCAGCCTCCTCTACTTCAGTGTAAGCAAAAGGAATGGTGGAGGGTGGTCATAAGAGTCCACCATAATATGTAGAAGTTTTAATAACCGTGTATGTGTGTGTGCAGGTGAATTTCTGCATACATGCACTTTTATATGTATACATGTGTATATGTTTCCATAGGGAAGTGGAACAGAATTCTTCCTCCGTAAGCCATGTGTGTCGTAAGAGGCGATAAAATGCCAGGAGCAAGGGGCTAGTAACCTGTATCAAACTTGTCCTTACTTTCTAAAATATTTGACAAAATAATACACAAACAACTTTATGCCTACCTTATATCCAGCAACATACTTAACTCCTGTCAGTTTGTCTTTAGACCAAAAAAAAGTATGAATGATGCAATTATACAAATGCTTGAACTAATACACTGTATATACAGCCCTCAATAAAAATGAATATCCTCTGGGTCTTTTCATTGACCTGCGGAAAGCATTTGATACAGTGGACCACTTCTCTTGTACTTAAAAACTAAATCATTACGATATCAGAGGACATTACCTCGATTACCTAAAATCTTATCTTAATGAAGACACCAAAATGTATATACAAATGGAGTCGGCTTCACTATAAGGCCTGTAGCTGTCTGAGTGCCCCAGAGTAGTGTCCTAGGCCCACTCTTCTTTCTCATCTACAGCAATGATCTCCCCAGTGCATTCCAACACCTTAAACCAGTTCTATTCACAGATGACACTACTTATAAATAACAAAAAAGGCACATACCGTGACTGGAACGATACACAAATAACCCGCACATAAAAGAGAGAAGCTTACGACGACGTTTCGGTCCGACTTGGACCATTGACAAAGTCACACTAACCAGAGGTGGAGCAGGACGGCTATATATAGGCAGGAAGAGGTGGTGGTAGTAGTAGTAGTACAAGAGTTGTATATAATACTGACAAGATGAAATTAAGACACATGCATACACCCGGGCATCCCCATCATAGACGTTTCGCCATCCAGCAGCCACTGGATGGCGAAACGTCCACAACAAAGACAACCAGACGCCGCACATGTGTCTTAATTTCATCAGTAGTTGTAGTAGTAGTAGTAGTAGAAGAAGAGGTAGTAGTAGTGGTAGTGGTAGAAGTGGGAAATAAGGAGGACGAGCCAGTCAAATACAAAGGAAGGGGAGCACTGCAAGAGAGCTAGATGCCCACAGAGGGAGAGCAAGCTCACAGAGATGCGTGAAAGGGAAGTGGTGAAATAAATGAAGAAGGAACAGAAACACGAGACAGGAGAGAGAAAGACAACCCAGAGGAGAAAAGGAAAAGAGGAAAGGGGAAGGGAAGAGAAGAAAAAGAAAAAGAAAAAAAAATGAGGATTCAGGTTAAGTCACAGGTGTTCTGAAGTTTGGAGCATTTTACAATGTAGTGGGAGAGGAAGGCATCTACAGAGACGAAGCCAGGGCTAAGGTTCATACAAGGAAAGTTGTGTATTAGAGAGGATTCAACTAGACGGCGACTGTTCGAGTTGGAAGTAGGGGAAGGACAGTTTTAGCAGAAGACCAGTCAATAGGATGGCTATGATCTCTGACGTGACAGAAAAGAGCATTGTTAGTGTCGGCAAGCCTAACACTATTTTTGTGCTCCTAAGTCTGTCAGAAAGAGATCGACCAGTTTCTCCGAAGTATTGAAGAGGACAGGAGGAGCAAGAAATAGAGTAGACACCAGGAACATCTGTAGAGGTATGAACGAGATTAGTGCGAAGAGTGTTAGTCTGGCGGAAGGTAAGCTTGATGTCTAAGGGACGGAGAGAATTGTTGAGATTAGAAAGACGGAAATGTAGGGAAGGCAGAGGATAGAAGAGTTCTCATTAGTAGAGAGTTTGGGAGAGAAGAAACTGCGTTTAGCACGTGAGAGGGCAGAGTCTATGAAATGGGAATAGGGTAGCCAAGACGGGAGAACGAATTATGAAGGTGGAAATTTTGCTGGAAGGAATGAGGATCACAGATGCGGAGGGCACGGAGAAAGAGGGGAGATAAGAACACTTTTCTTGACAGGGGAAGCATGATAGGAAAGTAGTGAATGTACATCCCCCACTGTGCATGGGTTTTAACGGTAAAACGGAAAAGGAAAAAACCTGTATCTGAGCGGTGGGACATGGACATCAAGGAAAGGAAGCAAGGAATTAGTTTCCCCATTCAGCTTTAAACTTAATGGAAGGGGCAAGATTATTAAGAGCTTCAAGAAAAGGTTGGAAGAGACTGGATTTCATGAGGCCACAGAGCAAAGATGTCGTCCACATAGCGGAGCCCGAGTGAAGGTTGCACATCGAGGGTAGGAAGAAGAACAGTCTCGAAGTATTCCATGTAAAGATTAGCAAGGACAGGAGAGAGAGGAGAGCCTATACCGACACCGAAGGTTTGAGAATAAACATTTCCCCTGGAAGGAAAGGAGTTAGAGTCCACACAGAGGCGGATCAGATCAAGAAAGACTTCAGTGGGGATAGGGGGATGAAGAAACCCTTCATGGGCCTTTCTCTAAGGAAATCAAGGACATCATCAAGAGGGACATTGGTGAAGAGGGACTCAACGTCAAGACTAAGCATCTTACAGGTTGGAAGAGAGCGAACCGTTCAATGAAGTCTTGAGAGTGCGGAGGTGGGCAGGAGAAAAAGTACGGGTTATTTGTGTACATACTTATGTCTACTCCCCCTCAAAACCCCAACCTTATTTAGAGACACTGTAAACAAGAGCTGCTAAAATATATGCTTGGATGATGACTAACAAACTCACTTTCAACATTGACAAAACATACTTATGCTGTTTGGAAACAGAGCCTTAAATATCCAACTTAATATATTGATAAAATTTGGTTCCCCTATTTCAAGACACACTGAAGGTAAATTTCTAGATTTCTCCTTGACTGTAAACTTAAATTTCATTCCCAATCCAGCATACTGTGTACCCCAAATGACACTGCTTACCCTATACACTCATTAATATGTCCCTACCTTACTTATGGTATTTGTGCCAGGGATCAACCACAGCCAACCAGTTTAAATATTTATAACTCAACAAAAAGCTGTTGTGCAGATAATTACCAGCTCCTGTGCTAGACAGCACACCACACCACTTTTCAAAAGCCTGAGCTAGCTAAGTTTACAAGGCATACACTCGTATTATTGTGCCTATTACATATACAAAACATTAAACTTCAATATAAACCTCCACTTCAACTTCTTGATAGCTACAACGAACAGTCACATTACAAGGCACAAGACACTCTTCAACATCCTCGTGTCAGTCTCACACTGTGCAAAAATGCATGCACATAAATGGCTCGTTGATCTGGAGTTCACTACCTGAACTGGTAAAGGATCCCCTGACTACTTATAAATTTAGGACTTTGCTTAAAAATATCCCATCTCCAGTACTAACCAAACCAACCAAAACAACTTCTAATCAGTTATTATATTATATGACCTCAAGTCTATTAAACATCTGCCAATCCATGAAATATTACTGCTTGAACCATTAATTGTAATATGTTAGTATTATGTGCAACTTCAAGATTATTATTATTATAAACCTCCTCCTTGACTACCTTGCATTAGTTTTTTTTTTTTTTTCCAACAAGTCGGCCGTCTCCCACCGAGGCAGGGCGACCCAAAAAAGAAAGAAATCCCAAAAAGAAAATACTTTCATAATCATTCAACACTTTCACCTCACTCACACATAATCACTGTTTTTGCAGAGGTGCTCAGAACACAACAGTTTAGAAGCATATACGTATAAAGATACACAATATATCCCTCAAACTGCTAATGTCCCGAAACCCCTCCTTTAAAGTGCAGGCAACATTGTACTTCCCATTTCCAGGACTCAAGTCCTGGATTAAGATTAAATAAATTTTTAATGAAAGTTAACCACTCTTATCTTGTCTAGATTTAAGTAGTTATTATGTACTAGGATTAGTCTGCCTGAAATGCCCTGGCATGATAGTGGCTTTCTTTGTATTACAAACCAAAATTGTAATTACACATTGTAACTGTTACAAAGAAATAAAATCTTTACTCTTTTATTCTCCTGTGTATATTACTGATTTAAAAGGAGAAACTTTTGTTTTTCTTTTTGGGCCACCTGCTTCAGTTTGTTGAAAAATGTGTTATGTGTATGGGGGAAAGGAGGTTTTGTATGTGAGGGGCTTGAACATCCAGTAGGCATGTGTGAGCATTGTAGATTAATGGTTCAGAGAACCGATACGCTGATAAATTAAACACATGTGCAACTCTTGGTTATCTTTATTGAGGAAACGTTTCGCCACACAGTGGCTTCATCAGTCCATACAAAGGAGTAATGTGAAGAACAGGAGAATGAGGTAATCAGTCCCTCAACCTTGAGTCGATGTGGTCAGTCCATCAATCTATTCAAGATTGATGGACTGACCACATCGACTCAAGGTTGAGGGACTGATTACCTCATTCTCCTCCTGTTCTTTACGTTTCTCCTTTATATGGACTGATGAAGCCACTGTGTGGCGAAACGTTTCCTCAATAAAGATACCCAAGATTTGCACATGTCTAATTTATCAATGTGTGAGCATATTAGATAGTGGAGGCAGGTGGCTTTCATGACTTGACAGGCTGTTGGAGTGTGAGTAAAGTAACATTTATGAAGGGATTCAGGGAAACCAGTTAGCCAGACTTGAATCCTGGAGGTGGAAAGTGCACTCTGAAGGAGGAGTGGGAATATTTGCAATTTGCAGGGTCACCTGAACTAGAGTATCAGCATGCCTC